CGTGTGGCCTAAGTTATTATTAGCATTAACAGTGGCCTTGACTTGATTAATCCTATGATCCTTCATATAGGTGGGATAATTGGAAGTTTAATGCCCAACAAGGAATATTTTCAAGAAGCTTTGTATACATTTGATATCGGCCAGAACGATCTAGCTGAAGGGTTCTTTTCTAACATGACCGTAGAGGAAGTGAATGCATCTGTTCCTGACATAGTCAACAAATTCTCAACAAATGTTAAGGTAATTCTTACACTAATGCAAAACTAGTTATGGTGAAGGAACTTACAACTCGTTTTCTTGCAGGAAATATACAGTCTGGGAGCAAGATCATTTTGGATTCATAACACAGGACCCATTGGTTGCCTGCCTTACATTTTGTCCGACTTTCCCTCTGCAAGAAAGGATGGTGCTGGCTGCGCGATGCCTTACAATGAAGTAGCTCAGTACTTCAATGTCAAGTTAAAGGAGGCCGTAGTTGAAATTAGGAAGGAATTCCCTCTTGCTACATTCACATACGTGGATATCTACTCTGTCAAGTACTCCCTCTTTGCTGAACCACAGAAACACGGTAAGAGCCTAGCCTCCCACATATGCTGCTTAAACATTGTTTGAAATGATTTGTGATTGCATTTGGAATGCTTGTAGGATTTGAGCTGCCACTTGTATCCTGCTGTGGGTATGGAGGGGAGTACAACTACAACAACAATGACATTTGTGGAAGCACAATCATGGTTAATGGCACAGAGGTGTTTATCGGATCATGCAAGAACCCATCAGTTCGAGTGGTATGGGATGGAATTCACTACACTGAAGCAGCTAACAAGTTTATTTTTGATCAAATTACGAATGGATTGTTCTCAGACCCACCAGTTCCACTGAACATGGCATGTTAGAAGACCTCTGTTTAAGATGGTATCAAATAAAATGTAGTCATGTGAATGTCTGTCCTGAGTTAGTGTCCTTTAAATGGGAATGAATAAGTTGCCTTTTTACCTTATTAGCTTCTCATTTTCACTAACAAGAATTTAGGATTTATAGTAAAATACTGATTTTGATTAATGATCAATCATAAAATGTTGGCAAGAAATTGTCTTTCAACAGAAAAGAAAAAAAGAAAAAAAGAACAAAAAAACCTTTTACCAATCTAGGGCCGGTTTGTAAAACTTAAAATTTAACTTAATCTTTAACTCATTCATTGGTTCAATTATTAAAATTTTGATTCCTAATTTAATACATGCAAACTAATTTGAATATTAACTTGAATATCCAATATTAAAACTTCAAATATTTTTTTCACTCAAATTGATTCAGATTTTAATATTTTATATTCTTAACATATAAATGTTAACTTTAATTATATAAATTTTGATTTTGTTTTTTTTTTTGAACATATTTTGCAAAGGGTGAGTTTCAAACTTTACCGGGGAATGCATCAGTGGGTAATGTCATTAGACTTCAAGTTCAAGTGCAAATTTAGATTTTGATTAATTTTAATTTCAAATCAAATTTTTATTATTAGTAAGATACATACCAATAAAATTTTGATGTAGAACTTAAGTGATTACTGTATAAATTTTCAACTATACCATTGAAATTCGATTCTCTTTATCCCCATTCTCCCTCCCCTAACCCGAATTCCCCTAGCTCAAAAAAAGAAAAAAAAAAAAAA